AAAAAAAAAAAAAAAAAAAGTGAACGTGATTTGAAGAAATAAATAAGTATATTAACTCTTCTGTCTCATGAGAAAATATTTTCTTTTTTGTTTTGTTTTTTATTTTTTTGGAACAGGTTTTTCTATATAATCCACATGTATTATACCACAGAATGATCAAATGCTCAGTCCTATCTCAGTCTCCCCAGTACTGGAGAAGCAGTCATGCCGCACCTATCTCCTTTTTTACCCTCTCTTCCCTCTCTCTCACCCTTCCTTCCTTCCTTCCTTCCTTCCTTCCTTCCTTCTTTCTTTTGTGGTGCTGGGGATTGAACCCAGGACCTTGTGCATGCTAGGCATCCATATGTCTTAAACACACCTAAACTTGCTTCTCTAGTTGAATTCATTTTCTATGGTCTGTCTGATAATTCATATTAAAATTATGGTTTTTTTATATATTACTTGATGAATTAAAAATGATTAATTGGAAAAAAATTAATTGGTATTATCCATATTGTATTTTGTGTGTGCTGAATGATTCATTATACAGTTGTTTGGTTTTTTTTTTTTTTTTTTTGGTTTTTTTGAGACAAGGTTTTGCCATGCAGTGAAGGCTGGCTTTGAACTCACTATGTAGTTCAGGCTGACCCTGAGCTCCTGGCGATCCTCCTGCCTCAGTTTCTCAAGTGCTGGAATTATAGGCATGTGCCACCATGCCTGGCTCATTATACTTTGTATACTTTTTCCTCCTTTAACTTCTCATTAATTTTATGTATTTATTTTATTTTTGGTTTTTGAGGCGTGGTCTCACTTTGTAGCCCAGGCTTCCTCCAACTCACAGTGACTCTGCTTCCTCAGTCTCCTGCGTGCTGGGGTCACAGGTGCGCACCGGGCCCAGCAAAGCTATTTCCAGTTAATGTATAAAAACAAAAATAGTACATATTAATGGAATCAAGCAATTTTTAAATAAAGTGATCTACATTAAGATAGTAGTAAGTTTTGGTGGGTGATTTATTTTGTACTCAATAATTTTTTTTTAGTGTTGAAAGATTCAATTAAATTTTTAGCGTCTAAAGTAGGCAACGTGGCGTCTACCTATAATCCTAGCACTTTGGGAGGCTGAGGTAGGAGGATTACAAATTTGAGCCCTGCCTGGGAAATTTAGTGACTTAACCAGACTCTGTTCAAAATTTAAAAAAAAGAACAAATGTTTTAAAGGCCTAGGGATACCAGAGCAAAAGCTCTGGAATCAGTCCCCAGTACTAGAAAAAAAATTTTTTTTTTGTACCAGAAATCAAACTCAGGACCTTGCGCTTGCCAGGCACGTGCTTGTGCTGCTGAGCTATATCCCCGGCCTTAGAAAAAAATTTTTTAGCTTCTGAATTTTTTAATTGCTGATATTTAAAATTAACTATCTTGGTATTTTCTCTGCTGCAACTCTTTTTTTTGGCCAGGGATGGCTTGTGTCTGTATGTATAGAGTGAAGCCAGGTGGGTCTGGCAATAGTGTTTTCGAAGAATAGACCCACCATTAAGTTGTGCAGGCGTTTCCCCATTACAACCATGAGCTACCTGCAGAGCTCTTTCAGTAAGCTTGCTAGATAACCAGGTAACTAACTGATATCTTATTATAGCTCTTTTCCTTGGGAAGTAAAGTAAAGTCTTCTTTTAAAACTATTATTCCCGGGCTGGGGATTTAGCTCAGCGGCAAAGCGCCTGCCTGGCAAGCACAAGGTCATGAGCTCGATTCCTGGTACAGGGGAAAAAAACCCAACTATAATTCTAAATCCAAAGTCAAAATAATAGGCGTTAGGTGCTTGAATAAAGCTATTATTCCCAAACAAACAGAAATAAAAACCTGTGATCCTAAGGTAAAATTTGTGAAAAACATTGACCTCTCTCTCTGTCTCTCTGTCTCTCTCTGACTCTCTGTCTCACTGTCTCTGTCTCTGTCCAGTGCGTGTATTTAAGACAAGTATTAGAGTTTTCATGGGCAGACTAGGGAGCACAATAGGTTAACCTGTTTTATAAGTAAGAGAAACAAATGATTTCTAGCTGTCCTTTTTGGGTCTTGCGCCCTCTCCATACTCGCAGTGAGCCGGTACTGCAGCGTGCACAGGATGCCTCCACACATAATCTGCCTTAGGTGTTAGACACAAAGCCACGTGAATATAAGTAAGGGATGTTCTGTGGCAAGCCAAGCTTTTTATTTTTTTTTTCCAGTGCTGAGGGTTGAACCCAGGACCTTCACACTGAGGTGTATCCCCAACCCTTTTAACATTTTTTACTTTGAGAGTATATTACTAAATTGCCCAGCCTGGGTCCTCCTACCTCAGCCTCCCAGAGCACTGGGATTACAGGTGTGTGCTGCCACATGACAGATCTTCGTAGCCTTTCACACATACTCTACTACGTCATTTGTACTTCAGGCTGGATGCGTGGAACTCTGCATCAAAAGCTCTAGGCAGTCTGACCTTATATGGCAGGAAATGGCAGAGATCACAGTATGGAAAAGGTCGTGGTTTAAACGGTGCCTGTGGTCCTAAGCGCCGCACACCTGTTCTGTGCAGCGGCCTGGAAGACGGGCATCTGCTTCCCTCTGGGGAGTCACGTTCCCCCTCGAACAGAGCAGAAAGGTATAGAGTCTTTAATAGCTGAGACTTGTTTTCACTGACATTTGTATGCTATTAAATTCAGAAGAATATTTTCAACAAAATTCTGATATATCAGGACATTTAGATTTGATTTTCCTTTCAGATGTGGCTTATAATCTCCATTTTTGCATAAGATGAAGCCAGGTGTGGTGGTGCACACCTGTAATCCCAGTAAACCAGAGGCTGAGGCAGGAGGATTACCATGAGTGAAAGGTTACCCCGGTTTACATAGTGAGTTCAAGGCTAGCCTGGACTAATAGTAAAACCCTGTCTCAAACAATAACAACAACAAAAATCTACTTTTGGATAATGAGTATTTCCTGGTTTTCAGCATCAGTCCTGTGCTAATGATTGACACAAAGTAATCTTTAATACAAAGCTGAACGGGCGTGGTGGTGCACGCCTATAATCCCAGCACTTGGGAGGCTGAGGCAGGAGGATTGTTGCAAGTTCAAGACCAGCCTGGGCTATAAAGTGAACTCAAGGCCAGCCTGAATTGCATAGCGAGACCCTGTCTCAAAAAGACAAAAAAAAAAAAAAAAATACAAAGCTGAATTGTGTGTGTTTTCTCTGTCTATGCATTGTGAATATGTATGTCAGTGTATACTTACACAGTTCTTATTTTTAATAATTTGTCTTCAGCCTGTTGAGTTTCAAGGCCATCAAGTGACAGGCTCGGCTCGCAGTGTTGTGATTGTCAGAGGACCCAGCTTGCAGCCAAGATGTGGTCCATTTCTGGGCAGCACTGGTCACAAAACTCTCCTGGCAGACGCGCATATCCTGCTACCGGAGCTCCCTGGCATGCAGGTGCAGACCGAGCCCTCAGAGGTAAAGGGGTTTTCTTTTTTTTGTCTTGTCTTTTTGAGACAGGGTCTCACTATGTTGTTCAGGGTGGCCTTTAACTAGCATTGTGGGCCAGCCTGGCCTCGAACTCGCAGTGATCCTCCTGCTTCTGCCTCCTGAGTGCTGGAATTACAGGTCTGTGGCACCATGCCTGGCTAGAGGGGTTTTCAGGATTGTGATTTTCCAATTCACTTTCTCTGTGTCAGTGCTAAATTTTATAGAGATTACAGTTATGTTTTCGTACAAAAGGAATACAGGAGTAAATTGACAAGAAGCGTAGTATCTCGACTCACACTATAGAAAACAAAAATATTTTATTGGAGTTTTGGATTTGTTGGCATATGGAGGTTCAGAACAGTCCATTGCAGCCTGCTTTCAGAATCCTACATGAGTTTAGGGCTTCCACTTTCTCAGCTTTTGATGATTTTGGAGGCAAGGCAGCTGGCTTTGTATGGGCTTCCCTGGGTCCTTACTTTGATCTCTTCCATGGTGCCAAGTATGGACTGTTTTGCCATCCTGTTACTGCTACACTGTAATTCATGGTTATCATTGTTTCTTAGTTTTTTTTTTTTTTTAATTAAATTAAAAAATTTTTTTTGAGACAGGGTCTTGCTATGTAGTACAGGCTGGCCTTGAACTCACTATGTAGTCCAGGCTGGCCCTGAACACTCTGCGATCCTCCTCTCTCAGCCTCCTGAGTGCTGGTATTATAAGTGTATGTTCTCACGCCAGGCTGTTGTTTCTTAGTTTCATCGAAAATGGAGTTTCGGTTTCTTATTTTCTGTGTGTGTATTTGTTTTTTTTTTTGTTTTATTTTGTCTTTTTGAGACAGGGTCTCAATATGCAGCTCAGGCTGGCCTTGAGCTCCCTTTGTATCCCAGGCTGGTCTCGAACTGGCAACATTCTCCTGCCTCAACCTCCTGAGTGCTGGGATTACAGGCATGCACCTCCACACCCGGCAGGTTTCTGTGTTTTCTTAGAGGAGAATAAATTATAGACTATTCTACATTGAAAAAGAAACATGTTCATTTGCTTTATTTCTTTTTTCACATTAACTATGGTCCTATGCTGTATATCTCGAGTCTGTTTTTATTCCACAGAGCAGTGTCTTAGCTTCCATGCTAAGGATGCGTGGTGTTTGTCTTCCTGTGCCTGTCTCACTTCCCGTAGCAGATGTCCTTCAGCTCCAGCCTTGTTATGCAGATGGCAGAACTTCATTCTTCCTTGTGGCTGAATAAAGTTCCACTGTGGCCGTGTGTGGTGGCACATACCTGTAATCCCAGCATTGGGCAGACTGAGGTGGGAGGATCAAAGCCAGCCTGGGCTATATAGTGAGACCCTATTTCAAAAACAAACCAAAAAATTAAGCAAAACATTTAGTTAAAAATGTATTCTACTGTGTATATATCTAGTTGCCTGTCCTCAGACACCTAGGTTGATTCTGTGTCTTGGCTGTTGTGAGTAGCACTGCAGTAATTATAGGAGTGCAACATCATAACCTCAGTCCCTTTGTCTGCCTACCCAGTAGTGAGATTGCTGGGTTATGTGGTAGACTTTTTGTTTATATTTTGGTACTGGGGCTTGAACTCAGGGCCTTTTTTAGTTTGTTCTTTATTTCGAGACAGGGTCTTGCTAAGTCACTGAGTTGCCCAGGCTGGGAGCAAATTGTGATCCTCCCATCTCAGCCAGAGTACTGGGTTACAGATGTGCACCACCACATTTGGCTTCAGAATACCTTTGTCCAGACTTATGTTCCAGCATGTGTGCCACTTTCTTCTAGTAGTTTCCTATTTTCTAGTTTTTGTCCTCTTACATGTGAATCTCCAGTTTTTTCACACCATTTTTTTTTTTTTTTTTGTCTTTTTGAGACAGGGTCTCGATATACCGTTCAGGCTGGCTTTGAGCTCACTTTGTAGCCCAGACTGGTCTCGAACTCACAACCATCCTCCTGCCTCAGCCTTCAGAGTGCTGAGATTACAGGTGTGTGCCACTATGCCCGGCTTTCACACCATTTCTTAAAGAGATTCTTCTGAGACTGGAAGGAGTGGAGTGGTTTGAGGAAGTGCAGCAAGGCTGAGGTAGCTGGGACGTAGCAAGCAGAGGAGAGCAGCAGCTGGATGAGGGTGGGTGGGGCCGTGCCAGGCATGCAGGTCTGTGCTGAGGGTCTGAGCGCAGGAGGATCACTGCAAACTCAAGGCCAGTCTGAACTACAAAGCGAGACCCTGACTTGAAACACCCCCTCCATAAAAAAACACTCAAACAGTTTGATGAGTAGTCTTCCAAATGTTACTCCTTTAGTGTATGCATATACAAACGTACATTGTATGTGATCATCGGGCTGAGGATGTAGTGCTGCAGCACAGCACCTGCCTGGCAAGTGCAAGGTCCTGAGGTCTATTCCCGGCAGGGAATGTGATCATCATATAAATGTGATCATTGTGTTATAGTTTGAGATGATTAAATTCTGCACGAAGCAGCAGCAAATTTAAGTGCTGTTCTGATGAGAATAATAGTGAATGGTATGGCTGTTCAGGTCTGGGATATATTTAGCAAGTCACTCCTTTGAGAGCAGTATCTTGAATTTAGATCAACTGTAAATGAACCCAGGCCTCTAGGACAAAGGGGAAACTGTTGAGCTCTTGGATGTGCAGGAACTGAGGCTTCCACAGCTGAAGACATGAAGACTGGCGTGGCCCAAGCCTGCAGGGTAGCCAGAGGCTAATCTCGGGAACCAGGCCCTCTGGACTCGATGAGTCAGAGAAAAATCTGACTCTTACCAGAGAAGCAAGAAGGCCTGTCCTTTCTGAGAGGAGTTTTATAGTTCTTTGTTGTTACCACAGTGCCACATAATGTGTTTGAAATAATTTTGGTGGGAATAGAGTCTAATCCTGGGGCTGTCTACCAAGCATCCCCCAGCCCTTTTTATTTTTTGAAACAGGGTCTTGCTAAATTGTCCTGGCAGCTTTGAACTTTTGATCTCCCTGCCTCAGCCTCCTGAATAATTGGGATTGTAGAGGTGTACACTGTATCTGGCTTGAGATAATTTTTTTTAAAAAATAGAGATTATCAGAATTCATTTAAGATGTAAGGGAAGGACATAAGAAGAGTTTGGTCTATAATTTGTTTCTTCTTTCTGGCTAGGTGGCCTCCCCAGAGCAGAGGATTTGTATGTTGAGCCCTGTTTCTGCTTTTTCTTTGGACCTGGGGCATGACGACTTCATGGTGGAATTCTCTGAAGAGTCCCTGAGAGCAAGAACGCTACCTGGTGACCGCTTTCTTGGCTTGGGAGGTAGTAGTGACGATATGCTCAAATGTCTGTTCAGCAGCGTGACTGTTTTATTTGAGAGATGAACTACACTGAGAGGATCTGAGAACCAGATTCTGGGTCGAATCCCTCAAAGGCCCCCCATACCATGCACCCTTTTGACTTTTGTGGACAGCTGTTCTGGGTCTGAAATATCCTTCTAGCTCCCAGGTCTGTCCTCCTCCCAACTTCCTCTTTGCATCCCTCTGAAATTGTCTTTTCCCACCAGTGCTCCTCGCAGCTGCTGGCCCAGAGCCCGAGCCCGTGTGGCATCTCTTGTCTAGAGACCTGGCTTGTTGCAGATGTCTTAGCCACACCTACTGGAGCCCTGAGCCTGACCTCTGCCTCATCCCTCTGTGCTCTGGGTCACAATTGCACTTGGGCCTCAGTGTTCTCAGATGGTACCTGGGGCTCCTGATTGTCAGTCTGACTGACCAAGACTCTGCTAGGGAGGAACTGGGTGGAGAGGCTGGCCCTCCCTCTTCAGGGATTAACCTTGCCCACCAAGGAGCTCAGAGGGACTGGCCTAATAGGAGGTGAGCCCTGGGTCGAGGACGTGGTCATGGAGTGTAAGTTGGGAACCGCAGCTGGCCCATGACCTCTTCCTCTCAGCCTTCTTCCCCTGTTCTCTGTTTCCTGAGTACCATGAGGTGAGCATCCTTCCTCTGCCGCGCCCTTCTGCCGTGATGTGCCTGCCTTGCAGCCAGATGTTCACGGACTGAGTCCTCTGAAACCATGAGCCAAAAGAAACGCCTTCTCCTTTATTTTTATTTATTTATTTTGTCTTTTTGAGACAGGGTCTGGCTATGCAGTTCAGGCTGGCCTTGAGCTCACTTTGTAGCCCAGGCTGGTCTTGAACTCGCAACCATCCTCCTGCCTCAGCCTCCCAAGTGCTGGGATTACAGGCATGTGCCACAATGCCTGGCTTTTTTCTTCTTGTACTGGGAATGGAACTCAGGACCTTGCGCTTGCCAGGCAGGCACACTTGTGCAGCTGAGCTACATCCCTGGCCCTCAGAATTTCAAAAGTTTGAAAATCTGTAAATTAAATTTGAACTTTTTAAAAATTTATTTTGGTGTTTTGAGACAGGCTTTTGCTGTGTAGTTCAGGCTGGCCTTGAACTCACAGTGATCCTTCTGCCCTAGCCTCTCTAGTGCTGGGATTACAGGTGTGCGCCACCACACCAGATAGAACTTCTTGTTTTTTGAGATTTAAAACTATTTATATTTAAAAAGGAAAGAAAACAGCGCAGTGTTTGTTTATGCAGGACAAGCCGGTTCTTTTTGCTGTCATGTACAATCCCTCTGTTTTCTAGACCTGGGCCATGACTGGTGGTATGTTTTCATTTAGTCTGCATTCTGCTTTCTTTCAGGAATTAAACGATTTACTTCTCTGGAGAATAAGAACTTACAGAGGCTGAAGAGCGAAGGGCAGGCCCCTCACACTACTTCGCCACCTGCCAAGGGACCACAGGACGCCCCTCCCTCCTGGGCCAGGCCCTGCAGTGCCCTGCAGGAACCCGTGGGGTCTGCTGCCGATGAAGACCTTAGAGCTCCTCCCTGTGGAGCAGCTCCCTTCCCTGCAGGGTCTGGGGGCGTCTCACTGCTCGGGGACAGATCCCCGCAGAGCAAGTGGCAGAAGTACCAGAGCCTGACCCCCAGCGCCTCCCGGGCCCAGGACAGCGGGGATCGGAGCGCCCTCGAGGTGGCCAATTCTGGGGGCGCGTGCGGCGGGGCCGCGCTCCCGGGCTCCTCAGACCCTGTGCGCGTGCAGATGCTCAGGGCCGCGCTGCGTGGGCCCCGGGCCCAGGATTCCCGGCAGGGTGCGCTGTGCTCCAGCCCAAGGCCGACACCCAGGTCGCAGCACGCGCGGTTAGAGTTGGGCAGCCCCGGCCATGGGGCGCAGGGCTCGCAGGTGAGCAGGGCTCGGCCTCCCGGTCCACCCTTCCCAGCTTCCACGGAGGAACTTGCAAAGCGATAGTAGCGGGTGTTTTTTGAGCAGATAGCTTTTTAAAGCCAAACTCTAGCAGTAGTCGTATCCTGTCGTTGGCCTGGGGTCTTTCCTGCTATTGTAGTTGTGCGCCTTAACCGAGATTAGAGCTCAGTGTGTCTGGCGGTCCTGAGCGCTTATCAAAGTCCAGCCCGTACTCCGGAACCCAGTGCTGCTTGCGCTACTTTGCATTTTTGAGTCAGAAGTGAGTTTTACTGGTGGGATCATTATTAGGATAACGGTGGGACGGATCTCTGGAAGCAATACTCAGTCACGAACAGTGTCTTCCAGGAGTCATTTGGTGACTTGAACCTCACGTTGCAGGAGATAAGCAGCTCTGAGTTGTGCTTCCCAAGCGGGGAGAACCTGAAATCTGCCCTTCCGAAGCGGCAGACTCGAGTGCCTGCGGTGTTTCAGTCCCCCGCCCACTATCGGCAGACCTTCTCGGCTTGTATCATAGGTAGGACGGCTAGAGTTTTACTTCAGTATCATTGCAGCTTAATGTAGTAGGGCCATGGGAAAAGGGAATATACTATGAGTTTTTATACCACAGTCTCCTCGTGAGGTTGACTTTCCATGCTCCCTCCAGTTTTATGGTAACTGTGCTAACTTCAGATGCTGGGCTCCAACTTTCAGTCCTCCTGCTCAGCCTTCCTGGGATTACAGGCCTGTGCCACCATGCATGGTTTAGTTTTCATTTTTTAAAGTCTTACAAATAAGATTATTAGGTTAAATGGAAAAGTTTAAGTATGATGCATAACTAGACCTGAATGTTTTGAGGTACAAGGGCAGAACTCATTTTCTAAAAAAGGGGTGTTGTATGTTCTAGTTGACTTTGTTAAAAGACTGTTCTCAAACTTGGCCAGTAAAGAGCACATATGCGGTGCAAACACGATTGTTCTGTTTCGCTTCAGCTCTCTGTCTCTTTTGTAGAACATCTGAACATACTGCTGTTTGGGTTGGCGCAGCGGCTGCACAGAGCTCTCTCGAAGGCTGACATAACGTTTTATACATCGTCCAAAGAGGAGAAACCGAAGAACACAGAAAGCAGCTTGCCGTGCTGCCACCACAGGCAGCCTGCGACCCTGGTCATGGCCAAAAAGGAAGGGCCGAATAAGGTGCTGGCGCCCCCTCCTGCCCTTCCGGGACTCTTGTGGACATGGTCTCTCAGGCCTTGGTAGCTGGTATGGAAGAAATGCTCATCTTTTGTGAAAAGAGTGATCTGTGCTCTAGGCCACAAAAACATGAACACAGATCTGCCTTCAGGTTGCTTCTAGGCTGGGGTGTAGCTCAGTGGGAAGGGCGCTAGCCTAGCATCATGAAGCCCTGGCTCAAAACCCTGGGACCACAATAAAACAGAGAATTGTTAAAAAGAAAACCAACAAAACAGAAAAAACAAAACACGAGGACAGGTGCGCATAGTGGCATCTGCCTGTAATCTACCACTCAGGAGGCTGAGGCAGGAGGATTGCTGCAAATTCAAGGGCAATCTGGGATACATAGTGAGTTCAAGGCCAGTGTGGACCACATAGTGAGACCCTGTCTCAAAAGCACCCAAAAAGAACCCCTCCTAAACCAATAATAGAAAAGAGCTTATTGCATAGTAGTGGACAGAGAGAGACATGGAAAAGAAACGTTTATGTCCTGTTGGAATTGATAAAGCAGGAGGGCTGTGCCCAAGTTACAGCGTGAGCCCTGAGGGGCTGAGGAATACAGAGATGAGTCTGGAGACAGCTGAGATGGGTTAGGTGCAGGCACCACCTCCCCTGTTCCCCTCAGTGAATGTAGCCATTATGGACTGTAGACGGGGACCGGTATCGGAAGTCTAAAAGCAAGAAGTGAAGGTTGCAGCTGGTGTACATGCAGCTGTCACCTCAGGCTACCCACAGGCCCAGTGGGAGGCAGCGGCCCAGCGGAGTGACTGGTCGCTGACAGGTCATGAGGAGGTCAGGTCGCAGCTCTTTGTTGTGCTGTGTGTGAGCTGCACATTCTGAGCCTGTGCTTCCCACTCATAACACTGCTGTTTTCTTCCATGGGTCGTACATCACCTTCCTCCTTCAGTGATACGTAAATATGACTTTAAATTTGGTTGTCAGCCAGGCATGGTGGTACACCCCTGTAATCTCAGCACTTGGGAGGCTGAGGCAGGATTGCCTCAAGTTCAAGGCCAGCATGAGTTACAGAGCAAGATCTTGTCAAAAAAGCAAAAAAATAAAGAACAAAATTGAATTGAGTTGTCAAAGCAAGCATTCATAGAAGTAGTATAGCCAAATAATGAATGTCCTATAGCCAAATTTTGTGTTATTTGCAACATTACTTGATGAGTGGCTGCATGTACATATGATGTTGTTGGTATAAAGTTAGGTTACAGAGCAGAAAATGGATCATTAATTGAATTTTATTTTAAAAAGTCAAATGGTATGCATGCACATGTGTCCTGCTGTGTGAGGAAAAAGGATGGAAAGAGATGTACAGGTGTTGTTTGGAGTTGTTTCTGGTTAGATTTCAAGTTGTCCAATGCACATTTGTTTCTTTAGTAAATCAGAAACAATACATTTTGTATGTATTGGAGGGCTATTGATTTTTGAGTGTTGACTTTGTATCCAGCTGCACTGCTGCTGAATTTGGTAATTAAACCTAGAAATCTTTTGGTGGAGTTTTGGGGGTCTTCTCTGCAGAGTATTATGTCATTTGTGAATAATGATAAATTTAATTTCTTCCTTTGCTATCCTTATTCCTTTTATTTCTCTCTCTCTTGTCTAGTTGCTCTGGCTAAAATTCCCAGAACTATAAGAACAAGAGTGGTGACAGTGGACATCTTTGTTTTGTCCTTGAGTTTAGTGAAAGCTTTCAGTTTTTGTCCATTTAGTATGATGTTGGCTGTTGGTTTGTCATAGCTGGCTTTTATCAGATTGAGATAAAGACCATCTATTCCAGTGTTTTTGTCATTAATGTGTGCTGGACTTTGTCAAAAGCTCTTTCTGCATCTGTTAAACTGATCATATGTTTTTTGTCCTTGGTTCTGTTGATATGGTGTGTTACATTTATTGATTTGCATATGTTGAACCATCCCGGCACCCCTGGGATTGATCCTACTTGGTCATGGTGTATAATCTTCCTGATGATTTGCTGTATTCCGTTTGCCAATATCTTACTGAGGATTTCTGCATCTATTTTATTAGGGAGATTGGCCTGTAGTTCTCTTTTTTAGTTGGGTCCTTCTCTGGTTTTGGTATCAGGGTAATGCTTGCTTCCAGGAATGAGTTAGGGAGAATTGCCTCCCTTTCAGTTTCATTAAAGAGCTGAAAAGTAGTGGTATTAGGTCTTATCTAAATTTCTTACAGAATTCAGCAGTGAATCTCTCAGGGCCTGGGCTTTTCTTTGTTGGTAAGTTTTTAATTAATTTTCAATTCCATTGACTGATACTGGTTTATTTAGAACTTTTATATCTTCTTGATTCAGCTTTGGTAATTCACATATATCTAGGAATCTGTTCTTTTCTTCTTCATTTTCCAACTTATTAGAGTACAAGTCTCGAAGTAGGTATAGGTGGTCTTTTGGATTCCTGCAGGATCCATTGTGATTTCAGTCATTTCATTCCTAATTGTGTGGATTTGAGTCTTTTCTTTCCTTTTTTTTGATAAGGTTGGCTAAGGTTTGTTAATTTTATTTAGTCTTTCAAAGAACCAACTCTTTGATTCATTGATTCTTTATATTGCATGTTACTCTCTAGTGCATTAATTTCTGCTCTGAACTTTATAATTTCCTCCCTCATATGAGCTTTGAGCTTGACTTCTTTTTCAAGAAGTTTAAAGTTCAACTTTAAGTTGTTTATTTGAGCTTGTTCTGTTTTCCTGATATGGATATTCACTGCTATAAATTTCCCGTGTAGGACTGCTTTCACTGTGTCCCATAAGTTCCAGTATGTTGTACTGGCATTATTGTTTAATTGTAGATACTGTCTAATTTCTTCTGTGACCCATTCACTGGTTTTCAGGAGGGTGTTATTTAATTTCCATGTGTTTATGCTTTTGCCATTGATTTCCAATTTCTTTGTATTGTGGTCTGATAATATGCATGGGATAATTTCAGTTCCTTTGCATTTAATTAAACGTGTTCTGTGAGCTAGTATGTGGTCTATTTGGAGAACATCCTGTGTACAGCTGAGAAGAACGTATATTCTGATGTCGGACGGAACATTCTGTAGACATCTACTAAGTCCATTTCTTCAAAAGTTTGGACAATTCATTTTAACTTATCATTTTCACAGAAACTTCTATTCTCAGAATAAGAAATCTCTTTTGATACAGTGAAAATAAATGGAAAAGTAGATGGTTTTAGTTTTTTTTTTTTTCCGGTACCGGGGATCGAACTCTCGACCTCGCGCTTGCCAGGCAGGCGCTTATGCCACTGAGCTATATCCCCAGCCCCGATGGTTTTAGTTTTTATTATTTAAATTTGTAACAACATTCAGTTGTCGAGTACTAATTTACTTGACTCCATTAATGATAAGGAGGCTTTATGAAAAGTCTTGACAACAGAAAAGTTGAAAACATTTTTCTCTACATTTTAATTTAGTCTTTTAGTTTTCTTGTAAGGAAAACTAGGGATTGAACACAGGAGCTCATGCCTGCTAGGCAAGTGCCTTCCACTGAGCTGCACTCCAGCCCTAAATTTTAATGTCTGTTCCCCTTAGGGTCGTCTGTTTTATGCATGCGACAGACCCAAAGCTGAGCAGTGTAAGTTTTTCAAGTGGTTGGAGGAGATGACACCGGGTGGGGCAACACCGGAAGTGCCTCGCCCCAGCGTGGTTCTGAGTGACCTGAAGAGCCTTGGCGTGTACCTGCGAGGTCAGAGGATCCCGCTCTACGAGGAGTGCCAGCTTCTGGTCAGGTGTGTTTCATGGTGCCAGGTCACCACCTGTGACTACACCAAGGGACAGTGACTGCATGGAATGATCAACAGGTTGAAGGAGGTGGAGACAGGACGAGTGTGTCATGGAGAGAGCGCCCAGTTGCTGTAACTAAACCGAGAATGCATCTTGGAAGCTCTTGGCCCCTCTAAGCATCAGGCAGGTGGGTAGATCCGTACGGCTGGCAGGAGGCTATTTTCCTACCCGGTCTGGATCTGCCGTTCGGTCAGGAGTCTTCTTCCCAGTCCCAACAGAAACCACTGAGCAATCCACAAGGTCACCTTTAGTGAGTAGTAGCTAAGCGATTATTCCCAGGCTGACCTCCTGGCCTGTGGAACGGAGGATGGGGGATGCTGCTGTTTGGAAGCCCATCTGGAACAAGGGTGGGATCACTTCTGGCGATGTGAGCATCTGTATGGTGGCATAAGAGCGGTTTAGTGGGAGCCTATGGACTCCAGGCTCTCTCCTGCACATTTTATATTATTTCCTTTAATTGGCATTATTTCCTTTATTTCCTGTAAGCGAGGGAGACAGTGGGGATGGTTGTTATTCTTACTTCACAGCTAGAGAAACTAGGTGTTCTGTCTTTTAGATATTCTTCCTACCACTGTCTCTTTTAAAATTAACAACAATTCTTTTTTTTTTTTCCTTTGGCATTAGGGATTGAGTCCAAGGCCCTCACACTGAGCTATATCTCTGACCCTCCTAACTTTTTATTGTAGACAGGGCTTGGCTAAATCAATAAGCTGCTTGGGCTGGACTTGAACTTTCAACCCTCCTGCCTCGGCTTCCCAGGGTGCTGGGATTATAGGACCAGGTAGAACTAAGGCAATTCTGTGAGGGCTGTTATTTTCTTCCTTGGATAAAATATATTTGTAATTTGTATACATGCATAAAATATATAAACATCTATAACTCTATTTTTTTCTTTTCTGTGCTATATTTTAAAGGTTTTTTTTTAAAACTTTGGGAGTGTTAGCACAGGGCTAACACTAATCACACACACACCTGTAATTCCAGTTACTGGGGAGAGGGAGAAGGGAGGATTGCATCTTGCCAGCCTGGAAATTTGGTGTGACCCTGTCTCAGGATAAAGTGAGAAGGTCCAGCTGTAACTCAGTGGTCTTGTGCTGGCCTAACATGTGAGAGACCCATGATTGAAGCCCCATACTACCGCCCCCAACTCACACACACACGTGCCCAGGCACAGAATGTACCTTAATATTTATTTATTTATTTTATTTTATTTTATTTTTTGGGGTTTTTTTTTTTTTTGGTTTTTCTCCGGTACC